AACATCTCTGAGCTTCTGTTACTTCATTAGTAAAATGAGGATTATAATAGTTTCTACCTCTAAGGAGTTCTATGATAAATATAGAGTACTTAACACAGTACCTAGCTCGGTACATATATTTCTTCTCTTTTCCCGTCAAGACTCCTACCTTTTCTTCCACTTCCTCCTTTTCCCTACATAGAATATTCCTTGGGGCATTTAAAAATGTATGTGGTAGTGCTGGTGGGAGCACAAATTGGAAGAGTGTTTGGTAGCATCCACTGAAGCTGAATTTAAATTCTGTGATCCAGAAATTCCATTTTAGATCTATACCTAGCAGAAATACTTAGAAAAAACATGTTGCAAAAAATTCATAGTGAGACTAATAAAAACAGTTCCAAACTGGATATAGTCTAAATGTCCATCAGTAAAAATGGATATTGGTAATGGTAAATTCATTCACTGTAATACTATATGATATGATAATAGATGACCTACATGTATATATAGCAATATGGTAGAATCTCCAAAACAATATTGAGTCAAATGTTGTCAGAAACAAGAGTATTTGTATCATAATATTCCATTTATTAAAATTCAAGAATATAGTTTTAAAATTTAAAATAAGGGTTAAACTTTGGGAGACAATGAAGCTTCTTCTATCTTGGGTTCTAGTAATGTTGTTTCTTGGACTTGTTGCCCGTTGTTCAAGAGGATTACATTTGTGAAAATTCATTAAGCTGTATACCTATGGTTTGTGCACTTTTGATACGCATTTCACATTCCAATGTAAAGTTAATACTTTTTTAAAAAAGCTCCATGGTATGCTCTAGCCAATGTAAACACAATAATGAAATTTAACAATTCACTTTCCTTGCTTAGAGAGCACAAGTATGAAATTATTTGTCAGGAGCAAAAATATCTATATCATTAGATTGTTTTCCTCCTGTGCTAGGGATCAGACCCCAGGCCTTGCACATTTGAGGAAAGCATTCTGCCACAGAACTACACCCTCAGCCCCCTGACTTCTTCTTTAAATAAGCCTTGCTTTCTAGCAATGAAAGAAGCTTTTCAGAAATAATTCATTAATGTTACGAGTGAACAGAGTCTAACAATTTAATGAAGTAGTGAAAGTTTGATACTGAAACTTTAAAGGCATAATTCGTGAATACACATTCACTATTATCAGGATTTTAAAAATATATTACAGTATGTATTTATTTTAATGTAGACTAGTGGGACTCATTCAGACTTTCAGCTGGTAAATTTAAAGGAGTTCTTGTAAAAGGTGGTAAAAAAACAATGTGATTACTCAATAAGGTATTGGGTTTTGTGAGAGTGTTCAAATGCCTTCTTATCTGACAAATTCTCCACATTCAAATACTTGGAAGAAAAACTGTAGGCAATGTGTCCTGTAGTTACTAAAAATAAGATAGAAAGTATATCTATGGTTAATAATGTAAATGTAAAAAAACTGTGGGATGTAACAATTGGACCAGTTTTTAACTTTGTTTCTTGAATAAAATCATAGTTATAAGCTGAATATTTTTTGAGACAGGGTCTCCCTATGTAGTTCAAGGTGACCTTGAACTTACTATTTAGCCTAGGCTGGCCTCAAACTTGTGATTCTCCTGCCTCTGCCTCCCGAGTGCTGAAATTAAAGGCGTGCGCCACCACGCCCGGCTTTATAAGCTGAGTTTTAGTTGCTGATGACTTATTCCTAAATAAATCTCCATTATTATTGAAAATGACTTTGTTTTTAAAAGAATAACAATCAGATTTATGGCTCAGTGTTTGTCAAGGAAGAGATGGCCTATAGTTAAAAGTCCAACATTGTACAACTCAGTGAATGGGGTCACTAACTATAATTTTAAAGTGATTTTGTACAATTAAAGCTAGTCATGGGTTACTCCCAAGTTAACCATCACTTTATTATTGACTATAAGGCAATAGCTCAGGCGACTATTGCAAGACTGAGAAATAGCAACACTTTCTCTCTCCAACATTAATTTCTTGTTTCTCCAAAAATTAGCAGAGTCTTCTCATGATCTCCTACACCAACTCATTCATATTCTTGTGACTTAGTTTATGTAGTTCTTTCTTTTTCCCACTCAACTTCTATACTTTTTTCAGTTTCCAAATAAAAGAAATTTACAACCCATTTTGCTCATTAATTAGAGTCAGATGCCAAACAGGAGTAAACATTCTTCTGGTATTACATGGTCTCATGGAGGCGAATTCTAGACCTCTTGTCCTTTTTTTGACAGCAAAGTCATTAAATGGTGTGATTCAAATGTTCTCATAAATATTTACTGAGTGTCTGCTCTGCATACAGTTCTGAGCTAGGTTCTTGGAATATAAGAAGACAATCTCCCTGGGTTCCTCAATAAATAAAAAATAGAACTACTATATGACCCAGCTATTCCACTACTAGGAATATATCCAAAAGAAATGAAACTAGTATGTCAAAGAGACATTTGCACTCCTGTCTTTATTACTGCGTTATTCACAATAGACAAGAAATGGAAAAAATCTAAGTGTCCACCAACTGATAAACAGATAAAGGAAATACAATACTAGTACATCATGGAACATTATTCAGCCAGAAAAAGAACAAAATCTTGTCATTTGTGACAATGTGGATGGAACTGGAGATCAATATGTTAAGTGAAATAAGTCAGGCAAGTACTGCATTATCTCATATATATTATGAAATAATGCAGTACTTGCCTGACACACATATATATATATATATATATATATTTTCTCTAAAATAGTTGCACTTATAGAAATCAAGAGTAGACTGGTGGTTACTGGAGACAGTAGAGAGGATGGATTGATGAATTTGTACTAATTTACAATTAGATAAGAGCAAGCAATTCTGGAGCACTAGTGTACATTATGGTGACTATATAATAATTATGTACTGTGTATTTCAAAAAGGTAGAAGAAATGATTTTGTGAACTTTCACCACAAAGAACTAATAAATATTTGGGGAGATACATAGGTTTAACCCAATTTTAACATTTAAATGTATATATATTACAAACATTATATGATACCCTGTTAATATGTACAACTTTTATTTTTTTAAAAAATCTTTTAAAGTAGTCTTCTTCCTTTATAGGACTCACATCCTAGAGGTCTATGGGCAAATAATTTTACTTAATGTATAAAGAATAGAGGGTCACATAAGAATACAGAAGAGAAGCATGGAAACTTAGTCTGTGGTAACATAGGAGGAGCTGTTGGGCAAACACCTGGGCAGGTGTCACTTAAGCAGACTCTTAAAGGATGAGTCTTAGCCAAATTAAGAGGAGGATGGGAATTTCCAGAAGAAGAAATAGCATGGGCAAAGACACAGAGGTGAGAAACAACATATACAGGGCAGGAAACAGAAGATTAAGAGTTTGAGATGAAGAACAGCAAAAGATGATAATAAAATGATAGGCAGCAGCCATGCCATGAAAAGCCATCTGTGGCAATGGGAATAACACCCACCAAACAGAAAAAGAACTTTCTCTAAAATACCTTTTATCTTAAATTTTATCCTCAGGTGCTCCAGTCTCAAAGGTACTTAAAGTTTCTCTACTGAATAACAGGCAGGGAAAATTGCCGGGTTTCCCCTTTACTTACCACAAACTCTGGATTTCCATCCTCACAATCTCTATCCCTAGAATTCCTATTCTTTTTCTACTCCCTCAGTTACCAACAGTTTGAAGTGGCCTACAGTGGATTCCTGTCATTTCTATCTGACTTTGATAGTTTGATAGATATTATTGGATTTGTTTCTTAGCTCATCCTTTTATAAATAGGTTTATAAACCCTTCACTCTGCCCTCTCTTCTATGTCTAAGATAGGGTAATAATTTCTTCATCTTCTAATAGGTCTCTCTCTGACTCTCTCCCTTCCTCCCTGCCTCCCTCCTTTCCTTCCCCCCTCTCTCCCCACAGACTAACCTGTACTGACATTCAAGACCTAGTTAGATGAAACTTACTGATACTTTCTTCTTATAATTTCCTATAATTTCTTCATGAACTTTCTTCTATCTGCCTAGATTCCTGAAGGTATTATTCTACTGCAAATGGAAAGTTTTTGTCATCCAGTAGGGAACAAAGGAACTATACTTAAGACACAGAATTTGCTTCCCTGATGATTCCTCTGTGTGCATGGATTTATACTATATTTCATAGAATTGCTACCATCTCTTACTGCATAAATTGAGTTTAAATGCTTTGAGTTTTTCATGAAAACGTGCTACATAAGTAGACAGCATTATAATGAATATTACCTCCCTGGTCTAACTGGGATGTTTCTTCAGTTTACTTTCTTGGTCTCACCATTCTTGCAGAGTAGAGTCCTTTGTTAGGGTTAGAGTTTCCTATAAACCTGCTCAATAATTTGTTTGTATTTGGCTTCTTTGAAATACTACACAAAGCAATCCTTGTAAAAGGCAAAACTGTCCTGAAGGCTGAGAAAGAAGCCTGAGACATAGATTCAAAGTCACTCTTTTCAGGCAGAGCCAGCTGAGTAATATTATCTTAGCTGGCCACTTTTCAAAGTGCCCAATTCAGGAGCTTTCCCTTTGGGAGCAGCATTTGCCCTGGGGGATGAAGAGCTTTCTAATGACCGGTAAAACTTTAGGAATGGGCCCAGGGAGGTATGGTGTGTCCAGAGGAATCTTGGTGAGCAGAATGGACCCCTTAGACTGTGTCTATTCCCCCTCCAACACCAGGAGTGATCAGCACTTGGCCTAGGGACAGAGACTAGACTGAGAGGCAAGGTGAGAAGGAAGTGGGAAATCCAGGAAAGGAGACAAGATTGCTGAGGCACCTTAACAACTCTGAGTCAAAGGCTGTCAGTCATCTGGGCTCTGGCTACTCCACTCCTTCACAGCCCAGCCCTTTCCTGGGGCCGCGGCAGGGAATTGCTACACGCAGGATTACCTGGGGAAAAACCAGAGCCTCACTTTGGTCCCTTCCGGTAATTGACATGACTGGGCTCCCGGGAGGGGGAAGGGAGAGCTTTTCTCCATAAATGGTCCCACCCCTAGGCAAGGTGGCTCACTTTGGCCAGTAACAACGGGGGAGTGTGCACCTGCCACCCGTCAAGCTCAGGCAGACTGTGAGAAAAGGCAAGGTGGAGCAAGCCGAGAGAATCAGTGAACCATGGACAAATTGAAGTGCCCGAGCTTCTTCAAGTGCAAAGGGAAGGAGGTAGGGGCCTGGGAGCTGTTGGAGGTGTGGAGGGCCCAAGAGAACTCTTAAGAGGGAGGGTTAGTCTCTGTTTTTTGTTTCCTGTGGCTGCTCCCTGTTCTCCAAATTTCTACTTTTAACTATTTTCAAGTGAGCCTAACATGATCCCATAGAGTAGCGGAAAAAGAGAATAGCTCTTATTTTCGGAGCAAGGTGACTTAGGACCACCTCAGCCTTGCCTTGTGAGTCCCCACAAAATCTTGTTCTCTGTACTTCTCCAGACTGTGCCCGTATGCTTCAGGGAAACACAAAAGTGCACTGTCCTTACCTACCTGAGGAAACTTCCAACTCCCAGAGCAGCTGACAGGTTGGGAGAGAACCCCTCTCTTCTCACCTCCAGAACTGAATCAAGAGCTGCTCCACCTGATCGGACAGGAAAATTTGTCTCTGTATGTGATTCTGTGGTTAGAAAAGTATTTATTTTATGCTCCAAGACAGAGAGGACAGTTACACTTCCCTTAACTCCAAACATCCAAAAGTCTCAGCACATAAGAAAAGGACTGTATGAATTTTTTTACTCCAGTGGAAGCTACATTTTATCCTTCTCAAAGATCTATTACAATCTCAAGCATGTTAATTTTTCCTAATTCATCCTTAAAATTTTGTATTTGAAAACTGATTTATTTGTCCACTTTTTCTTGTCCTTTATGTTGGTGCAGCATTTAACCTTTTCATTAAAATTTGGGTGGTCTCAGTGGAAGAGAGGGTAAAAATATTTACCAACAGAGTTTCTTATCTCAACAAAGTGTTATGTAAGTGTGTCTATAATCAGAAACATCCCTTATTTCAGGTTTTTTCCTCTTAGATACCATATTCAGGGTTTGTTCTTTCTTCTTCCTTTCTGTGATATTTGCTTCTTTGGGGTTTGTGATAGTAAAAAGACAAGCTGTTGATATTTTTCTTTCCTCAGAAAGTGACCACTTCGTCTGAGAATTTCCATGTTGGTGAAAATGATGAGAATCAGGACCGTGGTAACTGGTCAAAAAAATCAGATTATCTTCTATCTATGGTCGGATATGCAGTCGGATTGGGAAATGTGTGGAGATTCCCGTATCTGACCTACAACAATGGTGGAGGTAACCTCTTGGCATTTTTCTTTTTCCTCCAGTAGTAACTGGGGTACCATATGGTTTCTGAGGATATTTGAGAGCTAATGAATGGTATATACAGGGAAGAGGAGAAGCAAGCATACTACGTTTATTATTAGACTCTAAACTATCTCAAGTTAGGAATCTGGTTTCAAAAAATTCATAGACATAAACTTCATGAAAGCTTTATACTTAGTACTTCTGGGCTTCTGATTTGAGATTCCATGTAAACTTCAACTGGGACTTTTAAAAAATTATGCATATTCCTGTGATAATCTTTTCAGACTCAAGTAGTGCTTTAATTTATAGATGAATCTAAGGGAAAAGCAGGGAAATCTAGTTCTATTAAGAAATTGAAATAAATTGTCTTATTTAGTAGAATAAGCATTGCATTTTGGTAACTTTAAATGTGGAAAGAGATAATTAAAAGTTTAGTATTTTAAATGGTATGTATCCCAAAGTGGATTGACCATGTAAAAGATCCTCGTAAAACACAATAGAGTTTAGTTCAAGGCTAGGTTATTTTGTTGTTGCAAAATAATACTGTTTACACATTATAGTCACGAAGGTGAGTTCTATAAGAATAAGGAGAAAAAATAACTGAGGTGACATACTAAGGGAAATAAAATGAATTACACAATCCACTAGTAATGTAGCAACAACTTTTCACTTGCACATTTTATTTACTTGTATTTAATGGTTCTATTAGAAGTGTAGAGGTGACATAACCTTGTATTTCATAACAAAGCAGTAAAACTATGCTAGTATAATTATTTTTTCTTAGTACAATAGGATTTTTTGTGGTGAGATTTCAATTTTGTATTTTTTGTTAATTGGGTATATAAACCAGTTACACTGGCCTTCAGAGACTTAAGAAATGCTCTGTTTACTAAACAACTTAAGTATTGGTAGCGTAAATTCCCTTATGTAGGACATAACTCATTCAGTAATGGGTTTAGTGTATTACATACAAAATGAGACAGAAATCACGATCATTTGTGATGTCTATATTCAAAGGTTCAGTGTGCTGAAATGAAGTAATCAGACTTCTTGACTTCTTTCAAATCACTTGTTCTCATGTTTAGAGAAAGAAATTTCCTGTGCCTTGAGTACAACACCCAGTATTTCTCATAAATTTCTAGGAAATGTTAATAGACAATTTAAAAATACATCCCAGACAAATAATATTGTTTGTCATGTGCTATTATCTTTTTTGCCACTTCCTCTGAAAGTTAATATGTTATATTGGCTCTAAGTTTTTAAAGATCACATCATTGGGTAATAGCTAATCTAGATTCTCTCAATTGTTTTCCCGTCCGTCAAGAGTATGTGAGGAACATGAAATTTAAATATGTCAAATGTTAATAGATTGAGTTTAAAAATATGTTCACATTTAGAAAACTGCTGTTAAAATCTGGAAACATTTGTATTTGTAGATTATTTTTAGTAGTTTACGACCCCATTGAGGTCTAACATCATCAGTGGCCATTGTTTATATTAATCATTTCTCAATTATGGTCATTATTAATATGAAATGATATGATGGATAAAAACCCATAGATAACAATGAATAAAATAATCATCTTTTTCAAAACACCTGTCAACCCTGAGCTTTATAAACCTTTATTATTATAGATAAATAGAGATATTTTGTGTTATTTTTCTTCATATTTATTACTGGTAGTACTTACAGTCCTACGGTCATAGTAATGATAGTATGCATATTACAACATCTGTACACACATTTTTTTCTCTATGGTCTAATGATTTTCATGGGTAGCATTCCAGCCAAGCCACTTAAATATGGGTATGTAATAAGTACTAGTCTCATTTTGTGTTGCACCTATTTTAAGGGTTGGAAAACAGGATTCCTAGATAAGTGTTGCAGTATCATAATATGAAAAATACTTGAGGAATATCTTAACATGTGTAAATGAATCGTACATAATCCAAATGCTTATTTTATCCACTAATTCATACATTACCTTCATTAAACTTTGCTAAGACTTACAGACTATTTGATTAATAGGTTTAAAATTCTGTCTGTGCTTCAATTTATAATGTGGTAAAGGTTTCAATGAGTAGTGATATGCCTAAAAGTGCACAGGAAAAATGTACAATGATAAAGGTTTAATTTAAAGGAGTGGGGCTGGTTAAAGGGAAGGGAAAGAGAGATGGTCCTTCTGAATTGAAAGTTAACAATGAGTGTGTCTGCTATGTTTAGATTATTCTATCAAAATTACTATGTTCTTATTCACATTGAGTAGTCTTGAAACTGTTTTGAAATTAATGAATTTAATTGCAATAAATTCTACTCTGAGCAACATTTAGCATTTGGACTCTTGGTCGTAAAAAGTGATCATTATTTTTAAAGGAAGAAGGAGAGGAAACTAACATCGAACATGGGATATGTGCCTGTCATGCTGCCAAGTGTTTGCACATAGGCCTAATATTTGAACCCGTACCAGAAACTGATGAGATTGTATTATTCTCCCCTTTTATGAGGAACATAAGGTTCATAGGTAAATTGCTCTAGGTCATATAATTAGTAAATAGTAGAGCAGCATTTTAAACTAGACCTTTCCAACTCTACAGATTGTGATCATTCAGTCTGCTGTTTTACCTTTTAAGCTATTGTGTTTCTTTCTTTCTTTTTTTTGCTTAAATTCTTTTATTGGTACATTTTAGGTATACAATACATTTACATTTATCATTGGGTGCTTGTACCTGTACATGATGTA